CTCTGACAGTAAACAACCATAATCATGATTGAGCAAAACTTATTTTATTGGTGTTCTTGTAATAATTAGCATGTTGGCCTCTAAGTAACTTTTAAGATTTCTAAGTGACATAAATTGAACATCCTACAACATTCTCAATTTCACCTTTTTTTATCTTCCTGTACTGAAATTAATTGGTTTTAATTATTGTTTTGCAGAAACTTAAAGAAGAACAAATAAAAAACCAAAAACTGTCCACTTCCTTGAACACAATTGAAAAGGTGATTAAATATATTTTTGAACTTTGTCTACTTCTGCTTTATTAAACCCCTTTACCCCCCAAGGTGAACGGTAGTTTTTCCAATATCAGCAAATAAAGACACTCTGCCTGTATACCATGCACCATTTGAAAGCCACTGATCAACTTATTTTAGAATTGACATCAGCAGCCATGGAGGAGGTTGACATTTTGAGAGAAATTACTTTAAATTACAAAAATGAACAACTTCAAAACTGTATTAACCTTCTGCTCTATTAGGTATACCCCTAAACTATAGCTTACTTAGCAGCTCTTAGTGCATAGCTTAATATGAAACAAGTCTTGCATTCCATTGGCATCCCAAAAAGGGAACTAAAAACTTGTTTGGGTGGTCAATCAAGTCTTAGATAGGAGGGGGTCACAATTTTATGACTTCAATAAGCAGATCTTCACAAGACAATTTTTGTGGCCAAACTTTGTAGAAATCTATCAAATATTCACAAACTTAAGTTATGATGTTGTGTGCCAATTGGCACTCTTGGGGAGTAAAGGGTTAATAATTAATAAATTGGTATTTTATGTCTTGTGCAGAAATATCAGAGCAGTGTCAATGAAATTTCAAAGTTACAAAAAGAAATCATTGAACAAAAAGAGGATTGGAAGATTTATCATTATGATATTAATTCAATTAATAACAATTTATTATTCTATCATATAATGCAACATCCCAGAATAATTATTGCATATATGATGTACAGTGGAACATCTATTGAGTGCCACCCAGTGACACCAAGTCCCATGAAGCTGTTTCCTTTTGCTCTCAGCTGACAAGAGAAAAACACTGAGTCGCCTGGCCAGACTACCTCCTTTTAAACTTTTTTTAACTTTAGCCACTCTCTTTGTTTTCTTGTGTTGATTTATTAATTTATCATTCAGTAATTATAGACTGCTTGGACTGATTTCCATGTTTTGGCACTTTGTAATACTATCAGGAAAGAGTAACATGAAACGTCAAAGTTCTTACTATTGCTCTAATTCTCCTCTTCCTACACGAACCCTACAACAGGTAGGCATCTTTGGAGATGCACCCAATAAATGGTACTTATTCCTCTTGCTCTAAAAAATCAGGTGGGAGACTAAACTGACTTCTTTAACTTGCTTTGATTTAATGTACAGTTGGTTAAAACTAAAGAAAAGATCATACAGTTCTTGAAGACCGAGGTTCAGAGTTTAAACCAGGTAAGTGTATAAGTTTAAACCAGGTGACTTAAAGATGACTTAAAAATGACTTGAAGATGATTCATTGAATAATAAATTGATCTAAATATCATATTTTATACTATGGACCATGGTTGTAGCAAATTGAAATTGCTCCCAGGCCAAATTAGCAGCTTGTGATTTCCCCTTTCCCTTCATTTTTTGGGGGGTAACCTCAAAGATTTTATGCCCGAAATGGCCAAAATGCAGGCAATATGGTTTTATTCTGGATTATATCAATTATTATAAAACCTATATCTTAACAGCCTTGCACTAACAAATTATTTTCATTCATTTTGCCAGCCTGAAGACTCAGAGGAAAGCTCAACTGTAAGTCCAACTATTGTGGGTGCATTTTTACAAGTTACTCTACGAAGTTCCATATGGGGAGGCTCGGCCCTGAGTTCCAACCCCTTACCCTTTTGTATACCATTTTGATAGAAAAGGTATCCCTTTTGTAGGAATACTATCTGTATCTTCTCCTAAAATATTACACAGGGAAACATTTACAGTGTATTTTCTGAAACTGTGGCCACCCAGACAATGAAAACCAATCAGATGGCTGAAGTGAAACAATAGATTCGAACATTTTCAAATCCAGCCAATCAAATATCTGGTAGAAAACAATGAAATCTCAACTTGTTTGTTGACGCTTACACGATTACAGAGTTGCTTCTGAATAAATTATCA